GAGCATTGGAATTTTTCAAGGCACTCGGCCAAAAGATGCGCTTAATTTCGGATGACCCTCAGGAAGGTTTTTACCTACGCCATGAATCTCATGGAAATTTGTATGTCGCACAGTATATCAATTCATGGTGCCATAACCTAGATGCACCTCCTCATGTTCCTTCTTTTTTTTATTACATTACAGTATTTTATTACCTTTTTTTAAAAATAAATAATATAGATTTTATATTTTTATATAGCTTATACTTTTATTGTAAATTGTATACGTTTTAAAATCGGAATTTTATTAATTATAAATATGTATATTTGTAACTTTTTAATAAAAAAAATTCACATCAAAAAAAAATTCTTTATATAAAAAAATTAATATATAACTTGCTAAAATTATTTATAAATAATAATATACCTTTTAAAACTGTTAATTCAAAAGATTTTAAAATTTTTTTAAGTGATCTTGATTGTTCTGTAAAATCAATATGCTCCAATACTTTTATAGCAAATGTATAATACATTTTCAGAAAAAGAACATGTGGTAAAGGAAATAATATCCAAAAATAAGTCAGATTAATTTTTCATCTGACATTTGGAGCCCAACACATGTCTTTTTTAGGGCAAACAACCCATTTTATTGATAATTTTAAAATAACACAATTTTGGATGTCGCTTCAATAAATGAAGCACAATCAGGTGAAAATATATTTAAAGTCTTTATTAAAATAATTAAAAATTATAATTAAGAAATTTTAAAAATTTTAGATCTATTTTAAAACTGAAACACATTATTAGAATGATTCGTAATTCTCCCAAAAAGTTAAATTTATTAAAAAAATATATGTAGTTCACTGCACCCTCCCCTAAAATTTTTAAAACCAAAATTGGATTGTGACATGTGGAATAGCACTTACCAAATTATTGAAAGAGGCTTATTGTTAAAGTCTGCTATAACAAAATTAGTCAATGTAATAACTAATATTAAAATACTCCATGAAAACCAAATATCAGAGGTAAACTAAAATTTATAATTAGGAAATAATATATTTGTTAACATAAGAGGAGTGGGAGGATTTTATAAAAATTAAAGCTATCCTATTGCCTTTATATGAAACTACAAATATGGTATGGGGGAGAATTATCCTACTTATAATTATACCTTATTATATTCTAATTCTTAAACAGCTAAAAAATGAAAAACCTGTTTTCCATATATCCTTTAACAATGGTTTAAAAGTAGCATATGATAAATTGTTGGGCTCATATAATTTAACTGCTGATGATGCAATAATATAACTACAATATTGGATCACAGGCATAAAGTAGAATTAAATCAATATCTGTTAATTATGATATTGATATATCCAAGTTAACGGACAAATTTAAAGAGATTTACAACACCTATATAGGTATCTAATTGACCCCCATTTAAATAAATATGATTTTATTTTATCTGATAATTATAACTGTCAAACAAATAAGGATGAAATTCGACAAAACAGACTAGACATTGTATCCAACTTGATTTTTATCTGTGTGAGCCAAGAGTAATACTGACCCGTTAATGTGGTATAAGGCAAATGCATATCGGAACCCCATACACTCGAAAAGCTTTTCTAAGTTGAAACTAATTTATTGTAAAAAAATCACATGTCATATAAGGATGAAAATATAAGAAAAACTCTTTGCCTTAAAAATTGGATTCTAATTATAAATTGAATTAATAATATACATAATAATTTTGTTCATAACTTGATTACATATCTTTTATTATCAGATTATTATAATATTTTTTCTGTTTGAGTATGATTAATGCATTATTCGAATAATCCAAATAGTAGATTTTATTATTCGTACGAATACGATAAATTATTGCACTATTCGATTCGAATTCGTTTTTGAATAGGCCTACTATCAATAGATATAAAAGCATAATTAAATTTAGCCCTAATATGCGGGGATCGGGAACAGACAAATCGTTATTTAATTGTTTTTAAAACTTTATAAAAGAGGTAAAGTTTGATAATCCATCTAAAAATTCAAATTCTCCTTTTTTTGAAAGCGCGCGACTACAGTTTTGTATGCAATTTTTATTTTTTTAGACCTAATCCTGATTTTTAAAAATTACGATCCGGCCTTGCCGATTGTGAATTTTAAATCCTCATTTTCTATTATTTTATTTTTAAAAAATGATTGTACAAAAATTTAAAAAGTATTGATCAGGGTTTAGCAGAATTGTTAAAGTAGCATGCTATCTTTTCTGGCAGCGATAGGTAATAACGTGCTACTTATTTTTCAATTATTAATTTTATTAGAGCGCTCCTTTTTTTGAAAGTAGCTAGGTAGCGCAAATAAAATGAATGCAACTATAAACATGAAAATTTAAATATAAAACCATAATTAATTTTATTTAATTTTGAAATTTATATATTCATTTTTATTATAAACCTTAATCATCTGGTAATTATTTAAAATGTCATCGCAAATGGATATCAAAATCGATGTAAGTGAGTCAGACGATGATGATATTAATGAAATGGAAGGTACTCTGGAAGAAAATGTTCTTGATAACAATAATAAACATTTTCATTTTTAAAATTTGAAAAATATTTTCAAATTAATGTAAAAACAAAAGGTGGCGGCTACAAATTTATTAAAATGTAAAAAAAATATATTCTCAAATAAATCCTAAAAGTAATTGTCATTTTTTAGTTTTTTTTTAATAATCATTTTTTAACAGTTATTTTTAAGTTTTTTTTCCTAGAGATTTTTTTCCGTATTTTCTTGTTCCTAGATTTTTTAGAAATTCATTTTTCACAGATTTTATTCCGAAATTTTATTCAGTAGTTTTCCCGTTTTTTTCCCCTAGATTCATCTTATCTATATATATTTTAAAAAAGTGGTATCTATTTCTATATATAGATTGATACATTTATTACGTTTTTATTAAAAATACATTTATTCCTATTTCTTGTAATAATTATTAATTAAATATATTGGATTTATTTCATTGAAAATTTTATTGCCGCAATGGAATATAATAATATGGAAAATGGTGTTAATAAAAATCTATAATTATAAATTTTTAGATGATTAATATTAATGATGTTAAGAAAAAGAAATAAATGAAACAATCAAAGAGCATCAACAAATTTTTAAGTATCTTTGGACATGGTTTCAAATGCTAGAAAATTTAAGAAAACAAAAAGAATTGACAAATCGATTATCCAATAGACTTCCAAAGTTTTCAAATGTTGCTAAAGTAAGGGAAATCGGATTTAATTATATATATTTTTTCAATACCCCCATGAGGAACCAGTAAAAATTTCTTTTTAGTATGGCTAAAAATATGTTTAAAGATAAAAAGAGGATGCCTAGGTTATGAAAGTTTTGAGATATTTTTTTGTTAAAAATTTATAGTAATTTAATTACATATCTTATCTCTAAATAAAAAATCAAGCGCTGGATAACAAATATAATTCATTTCAAAATTTGAGTTTTAACAAAAAATCTTCTATTTCTTTTCTACGTTGTTTAAACATTATAATTAAAAATGTATTTATTTTGTATCTTGAGAACAAATTTTATACTTGGATACATTTCCCAATCAAGTAACGGTATCTAGATACTTTTTAGATAATGTACCAATAACTTGATACCTTAAAAAGTCATTCTGATTTTGAGTACTAAATTTAATCGTTTTCATAAGCTGAATGTTAAAGAGGGAAATATTCAGTTGTTAAAAGATACTTTTAAAATGGATCTAAATATAGGTACATCGTATAAAAATGATCTATATACAGATACAATTTCACAAATGTGCCTAGATAAATTAACATTTTTCTTAGTTATGTAAGGTATGCATAACGCTAATTTCGGATTCTATTATTAAAATTCGAATTTCGAAGTGAGTTAAAAAGATTATTGAGCTGATATCACATCTATATACAAAATATATAAATAATTAAGATAATGATTGTTAGATTTAAATAATAAAACACAAAATTTTTATTATTAAGACACCCCCGTTTATCTGTGACATTTTTAGTCATATACCAGGGCAATTGACGGTAGAGTGGTTGTTATATTTAATGAATAAAAACTTTATATTGGGATAATCATTAAATATTTTAAAATCCGGACACTCATTTTTAAAAAAATCATTCAAAATTTGATGAGTGTCAAAACTTATATAATTTAAGTGGTGCCCAAAATATCTAATTAAATTATTTGATTTTTCTCAAATTGTCTAATAATAAAATAAAATTTGTGTGGTTTGTTTTTGTAATGATATAACTTAAGCATATTATTAATAATTTAATTCAAATATATTATTTTTAGATATAAAAAAAGTAAAATAAAATTATATCAAAATATATCTAAAATAGTTGCAGATACCTCTAAAATAGTATATAGATACGGATACTTTAATAAAAGTGTATAAAGATATGGATACCACATTTAACTAGATACTTTAACAACTCTGGAAATATTATTTTATTAAAAAGATAATGAAAAACATTGAATGAAATCTTTTTTGATCAAAATAAAGTAACCAAGAAAGCAAATATCAGAAATGCATTCCTGACAGATTTTTTAAAATAATTCAAAAAATAGTTAATAAAAAAATTTTGAATATCAATTTAAGCCATCAAGGATGTCTCTCAATTCATAGCCGTAATTTATTTATTGTATGTTTACTTCGTGATAAAGTTAATTCCACAATAAAATTTAAAGTAAAAAGAAATAGGGGAAAAAATAACAACCACTGTCTTTTCTATTTATAAATTTGCAAATCAATTTTTTCTCCATCAATTCATGGTTTAATGTAGGTATTTTTTTAATTTATGAGGGTTGATTAATATAGTCATAAATTCAGAAAGAATATATCATGACTAATACCTTAAACTTTAGGTTTAAACTATACTATAGACTGATATATATAATATAAAATTTATTTTAAATTTCCCTTAAAATTATGTTATCCCTTGACATTAATTTTTTTAAAACCTATCTCATCCTCTCTGGGCACGAAAGAGACGAGTGTAGTCACGAAGAGATATTTATAAGATTCTGACGTAATGGTGAGGTAAAAATCGAACAGCCCTTTTTCCCGATGGAATATGCCGGAAATTTCATTCAGCACAAAGACCAACCTGCGTTCCACATCGCGGCAAGAAAAGCCTCCAAAAAATTTGTGGCAACATTTAATGAGCTTGAGAAGGGGTCGAAGGACAGGTTTGTGGATAAGTATTTTCTATTTTTGTTAATATAAAATATAAGAGTTTAATTCAAACATAATCGACAATCTAAGTACGATTGATTATAGGCACAGATTCAGACTCCTTTTTTAAACAACATTTGTTATGTTATACTAAGTGAACCAGGGGTCAGTGTGGCCTAGCTGGAGCGGAAACTTAAAAATGTCTTTAAACAGAGCATGCAATATTTTGAACATGTTTCCCAATAAATTTACTAGGCCATGTCAACTTCTATACTATACTACCTGCAACATATTTGATAATAGAAAATTATTTCCTTCCTTTTTCTTTCTTTAATGACCTGGCTATAAATATACAAAATAGGGGGTACAAGATATCTGAACATTTGTCACAACTGCTTGCTACTATGCCCTCATGAATTCTTATATATGATGTATTTTTTATATATTTCATCCTAGAAATATTTTAGAAGTTTAATAGCAATTAATATTATGTATAATGGTAGATGAATAAGAAATCTATTATTTTTTTTTTTAATTTTATTCGGTCTCAACTTACGTAAACAAAGATAATGAACATTAATGCTGGTTGTTAAATGTTTTTAAATCAATAAATTTTAATAAATCCTGTTGAGCTTTTTCAACTACACCAATTTCAGAGTTTATAAATATTATAAGAACTTATATTATATTTTATACAGATTTACTTATAAAATATTTTTTGCAAAATGATTTAGATTTATAAGTAAATTTGGTTTAAAATCCTGTCTGTGGGTTAACAGGAGTGAATATTAAAAATGGATATGATAATGTAATACCTAAGGAAAAGAAAAATGAAGGATATAATACCAAATAATAACTTGTTTCCGATGTAGAAATATTGGCCATCATGCGCGAAATTGTCCTGTAGCATGCCTATATGGCAGTCAAAAATCAACATTTGGGGTTATTACATAGGAAAACCCATTGAATCAAAAGAAAAACTTATTATCAGAAAATGCATTAAATTTTGAAAATAAAATGGGAATCAAAGGAAGAGAAGAAGAGGGTAGTAATAATTTGGTCATTAAAAATATGGGAAATGAGTGGCCCAAGTCGAACATACAAATTGTAACATACCAATTCTAGTGGGGAAAAATAATATAATTATGATGAGTTTCCACGTGTAAAAATTAATGTGGGAAATAAAGAAATTACAATGTTATTAGATAAAGGAGCTACTATATCGGTCATGGGGCTTAGTAATTTTATAAATTATGGCAGAATAAGAAAATATTAAATGATAAATTGATAGTAAAACAATTAAATGGAGCTAAAATTATGATTTTGGGAAGGGTAAATTTACCAGTATTAATAAATGAGGCAGTGCATTTTTTGGATCTTTGGATACTAAAAGACGAAATTGGTGCGATTATGGGATGGGCTTGATTTGGATTGGAAAATAATTTTTGGATATGTTTAAAGTGAAAAATAAAGTTAATTAAAATATTGGAATACATAAAAAGCTCGTAGAGGAGGTGTGTGGTAAAGACATGGAAAGTAAATTAGTGAAAAATATGGTTTCAAGAGTATTAAAGTTGGAAGTATGGTAAATAATGTTAAAGAAATTCAAGGAAATTTAAAAATTGGGTGTGGTAAAATGTGTCAGGAAGAGCCTGATATTTTGAGCAATAAATAAGGCATGGATATGATACATTGTCAAGAAATTGAGAAAATTATTGAGCTAGAAGTTGATAATATTTCGGAAATTAGTGACAAGGATTTTAAAAGGGAAATAGGCAATAAGATAACTGTAGAGGAATCGGGCTGGAAAATAGTGGTACAGAAGGTGATGAAATTAATAAGGAATCAAATTTGAAGTTTGAGAGGTTACTGCGAGGAGCAAATAATGATACCAGAAAGTATTTGGATAGTAATCAATCGGAAGAAATAAAACTAATGTGCGGTGTTAGAAATTATACCAACGAAAAAGGAAAAAATTTGAAGACAATGCAGTAGTGGAAGCAAAAGGTAAATTAAATGTTGAAGATTTTGCAAAAAGCAGTGATGGATTTGGAAAATAAATATGGGGAAATTTTTGATATAAAAATAGGTCGTTTGGGAGATTATGAGGTGGAAATATGAAAAAGGGATATATTCCACAGTATTGTGCAGTGTGTAGAGTGCCGTTTGAATGGAGGGATGAAATGGAGAAAGAATTAGATAATTGGATACGTGAGGGAATAATTTGTCCGATTGGATATAGTGAATGGGAGACACCATTGGTTCCAGTAAGGAAGTCTAATGGTCAATGATTTTCGGGTAACTCTTAATCCCTGGGTAGTTGAAGTAAAATACCCATTATTACGAATGGAAGAGATTTTGGCGAACTTAAAAGAGGCAAAATATTTTTCGAAAATAGATTTTTCATGGCGTAATTACAGTTACCTATAAAAGAGTCTACAAGGAAATTGTTGACAATAACAACGTTTAAAGAATTATTTACTTTTTGTCGGTTACCGGTTAAGTTTGTCAGCTCCCATTTTTCAGCGTACGATGGCTGCAGTTTTTCAGGGTTTGGAGAGAATTTTTTATTATATGAATGATGTTTTAGTGACGGGAGTAACGGTTAAACAACACAATCAGAGATTGCAGTAAGTTTTCATACGAATCAGAGATAAGGGTTTGAAAGCGAGTCATGAAAAAAGTGTTATGGGAGTAACTAAAATTACATATTTGGGGCATAAGTTAAATGGGACGGAAGTAAAACCGCTGGATAAAAATTTGATGCGTATAGCGAATATGAAACCTGCGAACAAATCTGAGGTTCAATCTTTCATGGGAATGATAAATTATTATCATCGATTTATAGCGGATTTTGCTCGAATAGCTTTTGTATAAATTATTGAAGCAAAATGTGCAGTTTGATTGGAAAGATGCATAGGAAGTATCATTTGAAAAGTGAAATTGGAAATAAGTAAAGAACCTGTTTTGGTATGTTTCTATAGTGATTTGGAGGTAATTTTGGCAGTAGATGCTTCCAACAAAGGAGTGGGAGGAGTTCTATTACATTTGATAGAAGGAATGGAAAGACCGGTAATAATTTTCTCGAGTATTTAGAGAGGTAAAAACGAGATATTCGGTGATAGAGCAAGAAGCGTTAGCAGTTATTTTTGGATTAACAAAATGCAGGGAATATTTGATTGGAAGAAAAACTGATACATTTGTTTAAAAAAGATAATAAGAAGTTAATGATGTCACCAAGACTTCAGCGTTGGTTATTGTTAGTGGGTAGTTTTGATTTAGAACTGAAATATAGGCAGGGAAAAGAAAATCATTTACCAGATGTTTTATCGAGATTAGGAGTGGGTGGAGAGAATAATATTATAATGGATCATAAAGTTGGTAAGAGGCGTTGATTCGGATATTAACGGGGGGTTTTATGGGTAGTCCTACTACGAGGAAGGAAATACAAGAATATACTTTGAACGACAGGGAATTGGCTTTGATAAAATGATGTTTAACAGGAAAAAAAAAAGTGGGATGATAAAGGGAATAAATATAAAAGTATAGAGGCTGAATTGATGATTATCTAATGAGAGGAAATATAGTTGTCGTACCTCAACGATTAAGAGAAAGGGTTTTAAATATGTTACATGCGGGTCATCAAGGAATAGAAAAAATGAAACAATGGGGAAGGGATAATATGATGGTGGCCTGAGATGAATGAAGAAATTAATAACTTAGGTAAAAGTTGTGAAGTTTACAATGCATGGTCCAATATACCCAGGAAGGAAACAGAGTGTATTTGGCCAAAAGCTAGGGGACCATAGGTAAGATTGCATTTAGAAATTTTTGAATGGGAAGGAAAAAAATTTATTGTGAGTGTGGACGCATTTTATAAGTGGATTGAGTTTGAAGAGGTGCATGGTTTAACAGCGGGAATATTGATAAGACATTGCAAGAAAATGTTTTCGAAATTTGGAATTCCAAAGATTATGGTGTCTGATGGAGGTCCGGCTTTTGTAAGTGCTGTATCAAGAATTTTTGTTTTAAGATGAATGTGAGACATGTAATGGCGCCACCGCATCATCCTAGTTCGAATGGCCAGGCTGAGTGGATGGTAGCAATTGTAAAAAATTGGTTAAAAAAAGAATGAATTATGGGTAGCGCATTTGTATTACAACAGTGCGGTGGGAAGGGATGGCAAATCCCCGGTAGAGATAATGATGGGAAGAAAAATTAATGTTTTAGATATGTTGAAACCAGTGGATACGTGTGCAGAAATTGAAAGTAAAGTTGTTTTGGAATATGTAATTTATCAATTAGTATGGGTTCGAATGTATGGAATGACTAAAAAATGGGAGAAGGGAGTGGTTATAGTGAATATGGGAAATAAAATACTTAAGGTTAGATTGGAGGATAATAGTGAGGTCACGAGGCATTGCAGTTGAGAGCAAGGGCATAAAAGTGTAATAAAATATAAGGGGAAGATGGTAGGGGAAATAAAGGGAAAAATTTAGAAAATTATATATATGAGAAGTGTAAATAATAATTATCTGAGTTATGAAGAATAAGGAAAAGAGGTAAATAAAAATTGTAAAAAACAAAGGGAAGTGGAGGTTAATGGTTCAATAAATCAGATTACTTTTGAGAGTAAATTTGGGTTTACTTTGATATGTTATGTAGTAAAAATTTATGTAGGGGGTTAAGGGGTAGAGAATAGAGGTGAGCGCGGGCCGTGAAATTACGCGTGACCCATCGTGTCACTGTGGGTCACGGCGTGAGTGTGAATAAATTTTAAATTATTAGGCGTGGATGGGCGTGACGTGCCTTCCCAAAATTTTTCCCGGGCGTGATCGGGCGTGAACATGAATTTCCCGTGAATCACGGAAATTTTAATTTTTTTTTATAAATATAAATTTGCTAATTTAATTTAGTTCTTTTTTAAAAAAGAAAAATTTTTGAAAACAAAAAATATTCAGGCATTTTATAAACAACATCTGGTGTCACGCTCCTAGTTCTATTTTCTTTATGTTTAGGTGTTTTGTCGCGAA